CATCTTTATTTTATCTGATAATACTTTACTAACTTTCCCTGTCTTCTTTTGTTTATCTTTACATAATAACACTGTTCTTTTATATCTATTGTCTTTATTTTTAACAATAATGTGTCACTGATGCTCCTTTTCACGTGGCTTTCTTTTCCAATATATTTTAACACTGTTTATGTCTTTAGTAAACTTTTGAATGATTTTTTCATTTTTATTTTCAGTTTGAGATGAGTTATTTAGAAGGCAAAGCTAATGGTGGTTTTCGGATCGTGCTAAAGACACCAAAGTTACTACTTCTTTGAGACTTGTTTTAGTAAGCCCACTGAAACATGTTGTTAAAATTGAAGCCACCCCTCCAATTTTGGCTCCCAAATGTCAGGGCTTCCTGGTACACAAACAGACTTCTTTCAGAGGGCTGTCAGTGCATCCTTGCTCTGAGAACACTGGTGCCAGGCTTCTCAAGCAGCCTCCCTGTTCTCTAACAGGCTTCCCAGACCAAAATAAAATAAAATAAAAGCCAAAAAATATGTTTCCTTTTCTCTGTAGGTAATTTAAGGCCTCAGAAATCCTCTGATTTATGTCTGGGTCTAACATTAGGTTTATTTTATTCCTCACATTGTTCTAGCATGGAGTTGGGAGGGGAAAGCTGTCATGAGACACAGTCAGTGTGCTTTCTGCAGTAATATAGATTTTCTTACTGAAATGTTTTCAGAAACCCTGCTAATTATCATCCCTTCCACTGCTATTGTTTTAACTGGAAACCTTACTAGTTCCCTCTTGAACTGCTTCAATTATTTCTCAGCAGAGTGTCTCCTGCTTGTATCCACCTAAAACCAAGCAGTCATCATTTCAGACTTTATCTATATATTTATTCCAATTCTGGGGTTTTTCCCTATGGCTCAGGTGGTAAAGAATCTGCTTGCAATACATGAGACCTGGGTTCGATCCCTGGGTCAGGAAGATTCCCTGGAGAAGGGAATGGCAACCCACTCTGGTATTCTTGCCGGAGAATTCCATGGGCAGAGGAGCCTGGTGGGCTATAGTCCATGGAGTTGTAAAGAGTCAGACAAAACTAGGCAACCAACACTTTTGTGAGTGTGCTAAGTCACTTCAGACATATCCAACTCTCTGTGACTCTATGGACCATAGTCTGCCAGGCTCCACTCTCCATGGGATTCTCCAGGCAAGAATACTGGAGTGGGTTGCCATTCCCTTCTCCAGGGATTGAACCACTGTCTTTTATGTCTCCTGCATCGGCAGGCAGGTTATTTTACATTTAACACTACTCTAATTCTGCTTCCTTGGCAGCTCAGTCAGTAAAGAATCTGCCTGCAGTGGAAGAGACCTGGGTTTCATCCCTGGGTCGGAAAGATCCCTTGGAGAAGGAAATGGCAACCCAGTCCAGTATTCTTGCCTGGGAAATTCCATGAACAGGGGAGCCTGGTGGGCTATAGTCCATGGGGTCCCAAGAGTTGGACATGACTTAGTGACTAAACCACTACATTCCAGTTCTAGGATGAGTTATGACAATTAGATATTTTGGATAATGCTTAATACATTATTTAAAAACTGGCCTGGATGGTCTTTAATGTCAAAGATCATATCTATTCTTTATACCAAAAAGAATATGAGGGTTTAGATACATAACTGAGCTTAGAATAAATTAGTTACAAACATTGATTTTATCATGTTACACATAAATTTTTCTAAAATTTTAAAATTTTAGTTCTCCAATTTATTACTTCTTAAGAATGGTTGTGGTGCTGGTTAAGACTTTTGATAGTCCCTTGACTACAAGGAAATCAAACCTGTCAATCCTAAAGGACATCAGCCCTGAATACTCATTGGAAGGGCTGAAGCTGAAGGTCCAGTACTTTGGCTACCTGATGCAAAGAGCCGATTTGTTGGAAAAGACCCTGATGCTGGGAAAGACTGAAGGCAGGAGGAGACGAAATGACAGAGGATGAGATGGTTGGATGGCATCACTGACTTGATGGACATGAGTTTGAACAAACTCTGGGAGACAGTGAGAAGAGAGAACCCTGGCATGCTACAGTCCATGGGGTCACAAAGAGTTGGACAGGACTGAGCAACTGATGAACAATAAAAGGGTGGAAGAAATTTAGGGGAGTAAGTACCATATATTATAGGCCAGAGTATAAAATCAATGAAGAGTCAGGATTAGTCAATGAAATACATCATTTAAATTAAAATCACTCTGCAAGAAGCCCATCATCACAAATAATCAGAAGTGATAATCAGCCATTTAACATGTAACTGGCACAAAGGAAAATGTGTGGCTGTAACAAAACCTAGCAAGTAGGCCTAGTAAAAAGCTTCACTGGCTACTAGCCAAGAAATTAGGCACTTATTTCCATATTGCTCCTGTTGGGAAAAAGATAAATGCAAGAGCCCAGAATCTGTACCTTGGTGTTGCCAAGAACATCTACTGAGTGACCATTCTCTTGGCTTAAATAATAAAACATATTGAAAAAGGGCACAAAAGTAGACAAACTCGTATACTGCCAGCAGGAGAAGAGATGTGGGCCAAACCTGGATCAAACTCAGTATAACAGTCAGTGAGTTGTGTAACTGCATTTTGCTAATAAGAAGGCAACCCTGTATTTGAAACACTGCAAATTCCATGCATCTCTACAGTATTTTTCAATTTGAGGTAAAGGTGAAAACATCACCTTTTTGTCATTAGTTTTATTAATTGATGATGTTAGAAGACCACTTAAACAGGTAGAACAAACTATTATGATTAGTTTTGGTACAAGTGGACCAAATACAATAGTAAAGAACTGTCTTCAATCAATGGCACCTTAGGATGTTAGGGGAAAGATGATCTTGTGACTCTGTTTAAGTAAAATCTATTGCCTTGGTTGCAAGGAAGAAGGCAGGATCTTTTACATGAAATAATATTTACTGCTTGTAGAATACATAAGTACCCAGGTCAAGGTAATATACAGAGGCACTAGCTTAATTTTTTGAATGACAATTACCTTCATCTATCTTATTTTACTCAAAAATCATCAAGGCAAACGAGTGGGGAGAAAAAGGTTGGTGGATGACAAGAAGTATAACAACTGGGACTCACATTAAAAGAACAAATAATCTACATTTTGAGCAGATTGGCATTATAAAGTGAGAAATGATGTGAAAATTTGTATACAACTTAGAGAAAAACTTGTGAAATCAGGCACCATGAAAGAATCTTATTTTTAAGACAATGCGGATGGTAAGATATCCAATCTATAGCTAGTTAACAGACTCTTTCCTCAGGTCATGGTTTCTAAAGTGTGGTCCACAAAACACTAGCTCACAGGATGTTAACACACCCATGAATAAAGGGTCCTCTGCCCAAATAGGATAGACAGAGTAGATTTATTAGTGTAATACACTGCAGAATCTTAAAAAAGGAACTATTTCAGAGAGATTGAGGAAGTAGAATTTCCCAAATTTATTTGACCAGAAATTTACTCCATGAGCTTCTTACAGGACTGATCATCCATGAAATAAATTTTAGGAAACATAGTACTGACATATGTTTATGGGTCCACATTGCTGAACTATTTTCAGCAATTTCATACATCATTTTCAATTGCTTTATGAGGATCTGTTTGTTTTTCAAGGAAAATCATGACTTGTTTAGGGTCTCAAAAGAGGAATTATCACTTTTGATTGTTTGAAAAGTTTTAGTAAATATATAGTTCTTAAGCAACTAATACTTTTTTGCTCAATCTGTAGCCATTACTTCCAGTTTGTTTAAAAAGAAAAACAGGACTTTGTATTTTCAGCATCAATTTTAGAATGAATATGAAAGTTAATGTGGTCTCTTTTAATAAGGTTCAAAATACTTGATTTCAACAGCTAACTTCTCTCATCAAACACCATACAGCCTGGAAGGCAGTTGAAAAGCATATTTAAATTGTTCAGAGAAAACAGCTGTCAACTAAGAATCCTATATCCATCAAAGCTATCTTTCAAAAGTAAAGACAAAATAAAGACATTCTTAGATAAACAAAACTGAAATAATATGTTGCTAGCAGATATCCCTTTAAGAAAATTCTTAAGACAGCTCTTAAGCTGAAAACAAGTGACCTCAGATGGTAATTCTAACCCACATGAAAAACCAGAGCACAGGTAATGGTAATTATGTGATTACAAATTATAGTATTAATGCATATTTCTTCACCTTTCTTCTCTTAACTGATTAAAACAATTGTTTAATAATAATAGATCACCACAGTTACTTTTTTAAAATCCATCTTTCCTAATGTGTCTAACATGTCTGGGGTCATCTGCCTTTTAAGGTGACTTTCACCAATGATCTCTTCTTTCTCTTCTATGTGTAACTTCCTGTCATTCCAATAATTTCATGGAATAGATTAATTTAGTCAAGTTTATCTCCTTTTAAAAAACCGAACCAGGAAATCTCTCGCGATTCCATATTTCTACTACTTACTTCTTGGACTTCCTTCGCAGAGGCTGGAGTTAGTACAAAGTTTTGACTCTTCTCGCTTTCTCAGCCCCACTCACCTCTCAATCCACTTTGGCCATCTTTGGTTCACGGGCCTGCGTGGCTGCTCAGTCGTGTGAGTCCTTGCTACCCTTTGGACTGTAGCCTGCCGGGCTCCTGTGTTCATTGGATTCTCCAGGCAAGACTACCGGAATGGGCTGCCATTTCCTTCTCCAGGGAATCGTTCCCACCCAGGGAATCATACCTGCATCTCCGGCATCTGCAGGTGGATTCTTTACTACTGAAAGTTTGGCTCACATCACCACCAAGAGAGCTCTTTTTTAAAGTTGCCAGGGATAGGCTGGCATGCGCAGAGCACCAGGGAACCTTCAGAGAATCACCCGCAGGCGCTGTGGCGAGATTACAGGGCCCAGGAAGCAGGATCTCGCGGGATCTCGAGAGATGCAGGCGCCTGGCAATGGACTCCCAGGATGAAAAACAGGTGGGTACCCTTGTGCGAAGACCCCCTCCCTCCAGGATCCTCCTAAGGGGTTTCACTTGCGCCACCTGTCCTGCAGTGCCTGGAGCTCGTGAACTCCTCCCCGCCGTAATCAGAGCCCCAAGGCTCCTGCAGATGACCGGTTGTCGCTCTTTTTTTCACGTGCTGAGCCCGGGAGGGACCACCCCCAGGCGAGTTCAGGAGTAAAGTGCGCATGCGCCGCCCGCAGCAGCCCCCCAAGATTGCCACAGCCTCGTGGTTCCTGCTGCGCAAGCCCTCGGCGAACCCCAACGACTCAGTCCATTCTGAAGTCAGAAAATAAGCTCTGTCGTGCCTGCGGAGGGCCTGAGCGGGAGCTGGCTTGATGTCAGCAGGCGCTGTCTTCTTTGGCTGACTCCTTCGCCTGGCGCCTGTCGGGTCCCCAGCCACCCTCCGCGTCCTCTTCCTGCAAACGTGAGTACAGGGCCCTCTGATGCCCTCTTGCTTCTGCATCCACACAGACCACAAAGTGTCCCCGTAGTTGCCTGGGACCTCGGATAGCCAGTGGAGCGGGACACCCCGGTCCTGCCATGGCCTGGGGACACGCAGGTCAGGGCCGACAGCGATACGCTAGAGAAGGGCTCCCGGATCCGACCAGCGCAGTGCTTAGGGCGCCTGCATTTCACTGGGGAACAGCAGCCCTCCAAAACAAGGACCTGATACCTCGAGCCGTGGCAGCGTGACCGGTCCCATAATACACAGGGGCAAGTGTTACATTGAACGAAATGGCCTTCTCTGTGCACCTTGAGCCAAGGTGCTGGGCAGGGGATGAGGGGCGGGAACGATCCTTGCTTCAGAAACCCAAGGTACCCTAAGGAGTTCACAGTCTATGGCTGGTCCTAAGGCACCCTGGACCCCTAAGCTGGACACTGCTCTCCAGAATGAGTAGGAGACTATGATTACTGCACTTCATACAGTAGGAGGAATTTTTTTAAAGCCATGAAAAAACATGCAAACACATACATATAAACGTGCACACATAAAAACATGCAAACACACTCACTCACTCTAAAACACATAAACCAGAAAACTCCAGGCACTCACACACATCCTGGGACCAGTTCCTCCCTGCAAAGTGGAGGTTTTATAAATATATATATATATATTTATAGATACATAAAATATATGTTATATATATATGTTAAAAGCCTAAAGGCTGTTTGTTTTTTCACTCATCATGACTTTTCAGAGGCATTTAACAATGTTGAACACTATTTTCAAATGGTATTTTCCATCATTTTAAAATTTGACACAAAGTCTCCTGCTCTGTTTTCTCTTAACTCTGTGATTTCTCTTTCCAAGTTTTCCTGGGACTGTTTGCCTCAGCTATCAAGAATCCATTTCCTCAAGACCCTGCCCAGTCACTGTCTCCTCCCTCCCAGGCAGCATCATGGTTTCAATGTGCTGAAGACCCTCCACTATACTCATCAGACCTCACTTGAGTCCCAGGATCATACAATCACTGCCCAGGTTGTCATTTCCACTTGGATGTCATGTCAAACATTATGTTATTGCCTCTTAGCTCTAAATTCATTCTTTCTCACTTTGTGATGCTCTCACTGGGAGCCTGAAAATGATATTTCTTCCTGGGCATTCCTCTTAGCCTCTGCCAGTAGGAGCATCAGGGGAAGCCTGAAGGCTGGAAGAATCAGTCTTTTTATCTTTCTTGTTGTGTGTGTGTGTGTGTGAGGGGGTGGGGATGCGCTTACTTCTGATGGGCAACTTCTTCCTTGAGGTTTCTCTCAGTGCTGTGGCTTCCTCACTCCTGTAACAGCCATTCTTTCCTGAAACAGCAGCTGAATCCAGTTTACTTATTTTCCAACACTTGCAGAAAGAGCTTTAACTCAGATATCAGAACCAGCTGCCAGTTCCTGCATCTTGGAGCTGTGTGTCCTGGACCCACGGCGGGGGGGGGGGGGGGGGGTGGGGGGTGCATTTTTGAATTCCTAGACACTCAATCCAGTTCAGTCAAGGTATTACCTCCTCAAAGATCTTTCAGATTTGTTAAGACTCTCCTCTAAGATCCTACATTTGTCTTGGTGCTCCCCTTATGCCCTCAACTAGAAGGATGCTAGCTGTTCCTGCAGTTTATACATCTGTGGCATCTTTTTTTTCTCTTTATGCTTTCATTAGTTAATAATTTTATACCTAGTTTAATTTTATATTAAATTCTCTGTTAAAACTACTGGTAAAGTTTCTGTCTCCTGAATGGACTTTGCTATAATACTTAAAGCCTTTCAATCCCCATCTTTCTAATCTATGATCTGTCTTCAAAAGCCTGACTCTCTTTCAGCGTTCTTAAGAACACTTTCATTGATCATTCAGTTGTGCAAGTGTGGGTGTAGGATTCACCCTGACGTTCTCCCTTTCCCTCATCACATCCTTACATACAGCCCATCAACAAGTCCTTCCAATGTTTCCATCTACGCTTTTGAATTTACTCCTTTGCCATCTCCCCAGCTACCTCTATATCTGAAGCTATCATCATTTCTGAGTGGACTGCAACAGTAGTTTGCTTACTACTTTCTGATCCCTTTGAAGCCCATATCTGACTTAACCTGTTCAATGACTTCGCTTTGCTCTGAGAATGGCACAGAATCCCCCAGATGAGTACAGACTCTGCGTGGCTCTGCTCCTCCCTTCCCTCCTCTGCCCTCTTTCTTCCCATGGTTCTCTCTGCCCAGCTATGGGGGATTGCTTTCTGACTTTTCTCAAATTCACTGTGGTCCCTCCCCACCTAGTCTCTTTAATCCTGTTCCACTTCTGTTTGAAATTCAATCTCCTTTTTCCTATTAACAGTTACACAGAGTTCAGAGCTCAGGTTGGATTTTTTCCTCCCTTGCTTGACCCCTAGTCTAGTTTGTTTCGTTGTGTAATCTCAAAGCATCAGATTGCCTTCTCTGCTGGCAGATAACTCACAAACTAATATGATCTCTGATGAATGGATTCTTCTCTGTCTCATGCAGTAGATTGTAAGCGCCATGAAAACACAGCACTGATGACCATTACACTAACAGCACCAAGCACTATGCCTGCAAAGTGACAGGTTTATATCAGATAGTAATGTTTCTTAAATAAAACAATAGGTGAATTTATGAACATGCATACTGTGAAAGCAGACGTACCTCACAGATGGAAATCTGCACATTTGAGGCAAGAAACAGATATTATTGTTTCCCCATCATGGTCCAAGTTGACCTTGTTTATTTTATTTCTGTGGATGCATTTTCTAATTTGAAAATCAGATTTTCTCTTTGAGATTCTAATAAGTAATATTTCCAATGAGTGGTTTATTTTCAGATAGTATACTGTTAGTATAGATATATTTTTATTGGTAAAATTATAGTAGATGGTCAATTGTCTAGAGATTCTATGAGAACAATGTGGATGTAAAAATGATGTCTAGTTAATAAGAAATGTATTACAACAGCCACCTCTGTACCTGAACATCTTGCCTACATCTTGACATGTCTTTTACAGATGGCAAAGTGAGACCAAATGCACTATCATTCTAAAATCCCACCATGATTATTAAGCAACATCTGTTTATTTGTCTCCTGGGTGAAATATTAATGTCTATTAGATTAAAAAGTCGAGAATGTATCTCAGAGTTAATAAGGGAGATGTAGTTTCCAAGATAGCCCAGAATTTTTTCATAATGGAAGCAAATATTTGTATAAAAATTATGATATTTCATCAATTTCTTTTTCTTATTTTCATTATCTGAACTGTCATGAAGTTTATATATATATATATTTATGAGCATACACAAATATAATACATGCTATCCTGTTGGCCAGTATCTTGAAGTTTGAATTCAAATTTAGTGAATAATTGAATTTGTCTTATATTTTAATGATAATCTACAATGTTAGAAATACTTTCCTTTTTTAGTAGCAGAAAAGACCAAACACATCTCATAGATAAAAAGAGGCAAAAAACAAAACTGTTAGTAATGTTATTATTTTTCATGAAGAAATATCACATACACAGAATTCACAGAGAATTAAAAAGATACTGGATCATTAGTTTTATGCCCTACAGGCAAGTTTCAAAACATTCCTTTTTATAGTCCCCTTTCAATCTTTAAAGAGTGAGAGAGAGAGGGACAAAAATATATTTTTCAGATTGGTAAGCATTAAATAGTAAAAAATCTCAGATAATCTTGCTATGGCTTAAAACTACTTGGAAATAAAAAAAATTAGTATTTCTAAGAGTTTGTCTTAGAATTTAAATAATATATAGTGCCATTTGGAGAAAATATTGAGACATGGTATAGTAATACTTTTAGTGAGATATTTATTTTTTAAAGTTATTTTGCAATTCTATTGTGATATGGAATATTTAAATCTGTTTTCTGAAAACTAAGGGAATATATGTTTTAATAGTCTTCCTCGTGTGGTGCATAGTAAATCAGACACAGGTACTATTTTATATCTTTTTGCAGGAAATATTTGACTTTTTTCTCTTTATCCGTTCATTTCTCTATTATCCTCAGGGAACATTTCAGATATTATGAAAAGAGGCAACTGTATAGCTTAGAGATTTACATAGTAACATGGGCCAACCAGACTTTTGTAATTCATGAATAAGTTTAGAAAGAGTCCAAGTTTTTTGAAATATTTGCACCAGAAGAACTCCTGGATGGCCTTGTGAAAAATGAATCCCATAGAGAAGGAGAAAAATTGAACTGGGGCAATGCAGGAACTTTGGTAGGTCTGAAAAAAAGAAATGTCTATTTAAAGAGTCTTGCAAAAGGTCTCAAGTACTGTTACTGTTGTTTAGTTGCTAAGTTGTGCCAAGTCTTTTGCAACCCCATGGACTGTAGCCAGTCACGCTCCTTTGTCCATAGGATTTCCCAGGCAAGAATACTGGAGCAGGTTGCCATTCCCTTCTTCAGAGGATCTTCCCGACCCACGGATCTAACCCGAGTCTCCTGCAATGCAGGCAGATTCTTTACCTTCTGAGCCACCAGGGAAGCCTATACTAAACTGTTCCTCTTTCCACACTGTTTCATAAACTTTCAAGTCATTAAGCTTTCTTCTTCTTCTTCTTTTTTTTCTTGCCTGGGATATGGCTTGCTGATTGCAGTTCCAGTAGCCAGCTTGAGTATGAAGGTGGAGCAGGAAAGTTGAAAGAACCTGGTCTCAGAAAAGCCATACCAGCCCCAAACTACCCTGTCAGCTTCTAGACCTCAAGTTTGGCAGGAGGGTAGGGGAGAATGTGTGTGTGTGTGTGTGTGTATTAGTTTTCTAGGATTCCTACTGGGGGTTGAATGTGTCCCACTAAAATTCATATGTGGAATCCTAACCCCCAGTGTGATGGCATTAGGTGGTGGGTCCTTGGGGACCCTTGGGGAGGTGATTAATTTGTGAGGTAGGTGCCCTTATGGTGAGATTAGTACCCTTATAAGAAGAGACGTGGGAAAGGTTGCAGAGAACTTGATTTCTCCC